GGATGTGTGCAGACACTGGAAGGTGCAGGACAGAGCATTCAACTTGCTATTTGAATAATCAAGCACTCCAGGTTGCTCCATGTCCAAGTACTGCAGCCTAAACACTGACATACAGGCACTTTTGAGGTATGCTCACTATATAACCACTTTGAGCTTATCATATCCATATATGTGTCTGGAGAAAAAAAAAGGTGAGAGAATTCCTTTAAGACTGCCTTAACACGGCACTGCTGGTTACCTTACTATAGAGCGCAGAGGTTACAATGTACTGCAGAAACAGTCAAGCAAGACAGAAAAAAATGACAGGAGACACCATATGACTGACAGATTGATCATAACACTCTGTTGTTTCTCTAAACCAGTTGTTTGCTGCACAAACATTTGACAGCTCTGAATAAACACCAGCGATAAGAAAGATCGTGCTTTTCATCACATGCTCTAGCCAATAATTTTGAGCACTATTATTTGACTAATACACACATTTCACTCTATGTCAGGTAGATTCCAGAACCTATACAATAATTACATGTTAACAATCTTCAAGTTACATCCTTTGTAGTCATTATATTCTTATATTTCTTTAAAACAGCAGTCTAAATAAACAAACACTCTTGGATGCCTGCAGGTAGCTTTGTAAAGTCTTTTTTGCTCTGGGAATCCCTAAACCCAAGATGCTCCAATATGCAAATTCTGACTTTTACAGAGAAAGTTGTAGGCTGACCCATTCCCTCTAACAACTCCCTACTAGACACGTGGCTGCCCATTATCATCTTGGAAGTTGTAGTTGGCAGGAGGCATGGCGACCTTTCTCAGCAAAAGTCAAGAAATGCATGCTAGTCTGACAAAGATTGTGCAAATGCATGCGTAGCACCCTGAGAGTGTCTGCATTGCATTCTGGGTAAAACTTGAGTGTTAAGAAAGGAAAGGGTTACTTCTTTAGCAATGCAAAAGAGAATCATCATAACACCTTACATGGTACTAAAGAGCTCAGCTGGTGGGCAAAATCAACAAAAGAAAGAAACATAAGTTTACAGCTCTGCTCTACTGATCGTGCTCCATAATGTTAACGGATTCGAAAATTCAGCATTAATTATAAAAGCCACTGGTATTGACAGTATTCAGGTATAATAAAGTAGGAGCTCAGACCTTTCTGCAAGGATCCCTGAGAAATAATAGGAGGCCGTGGGTATTTCAAGCTGCCAGCATCATGGAAACATGAAATCAGCTTTAGGTGGACTCAAATTTTTTCATTTTGGAGAAAGTAAGAGAGGGTTAAAATGCTGTCAGTTTTGTGCCATCTTTGTCTCAGAGAGATTCCCCTTCTCTGTCTGTCCTGTAGACTCAACAGGAATGATAGGATATACTCTTTTAGACAGTTGTCACAGTAACCCGTGTCCCCATTGGACGATTTCCCCTCGAATACTGTTCTGATGGCAAAATCAACATTTCGGATTTACCTTCACTTTTATTCCTAGTGACGTTGGTGATCAGGAGAATTAGTGAATCTTCCTAATGGGCAAACAAACAGCAATAAAGACCTGGAAGTGGTTCTATGGAATTGCTACTCTGTCCAAAACTAAACAATGTTTTGCCTTTAGTTATATTATAGTATATCTAAAAGGTAACCCTTATGCTTCGTTTTTAAAGAGTATGGGATGGTTAAATTAGGTTTTTTCATTGTCATCTGTGTCCCATCGCAGAAATTCCCTTTCATTTCCTGTCCTGTATACCCAATAGGAAGTGAGAGGAAATCTCTCTGGAGTGAAGTAAATCCCCCTTTAGACAGCTCTCATTGAGACAAATGTACCACTGTTTTGGTGACAACTTAAAATTTGGGATTCTTCATTACTTTCAGTCCCAGTGACAAATGGTCACCAAGACAAATAGAGAGCATGACCTCCCTAGCAGGGACATCATTAAAATAAAAAAAGTTAGGCTTTAGCCATACTTTAATAAAGGAATTGGCCAGCAAGCAGATAAAGCTGCTGACTACTTTGTGGGTGGTGTAGGCCTTGTTGCTTATTCAACTGGTGTGAGTTTTGTTTCTACGTCCATTTACTTTAAGGGGTCATATATTGGACATTATCTGTATGAGCTGTTTTTCATATCCATGTAAGATGCATTTAACTCTGCAATATATGAGGAGGTCATTGTAAGCTTCTTAGTACGTAAGTAATAAGACAAGAACCAGAAAAAATTGCCTTTCCCTTATGAGAAGTCAACTTTTAACAGGACAGTGACAGAAACCAGACGTGATAGATGTTTACTTACATGTTAGTGACAAGGAATGTAGCTAGAATATAGTAATGCTGAGGTCCTATTAAAAGCATCAGAAATGCTGAAATGACTTCCACATAGAAAGCCCACAGGATCACCCTGTAGTAACCAACGTTCAGCAGTAATGAGTGACTGATCAGTACAAGAAACTGAAAAGAGAAAGAGAAAATAAGCAAATAGTGAAATATTCTACAACTATAATAGATAAAAAAAATCACAGGAAAGCTGATTATATGTTACAAAAACAAGTCATTATCCCCTCAGGGCAAAGTGACGGAGTATCTCAACCCACATATACTCAGCTTTGACACACCTCTGCCACCATTATGTTGCCCTATCTAAGCCCTAACCAAATTCCTGGTGCTCCCTGGTATGAAGGAACATGTAAATTCTTAGGCTGCAGTCCTTAAACCTGATTGGACAATCATCAGACATATGAGTAGGAGGAAGACTTGATTAACTATGTGTAAGCTCTGACATTGAGCTTACACGGGGTTTGACTCCCGATACTGAGAGGGAACAGAGCAGTGGGAGAGTGCGGTGGAGTTGACCATAAATGGGTCTGGAGAGTGGCTTTCAATAGACTGTCTAAGGCAGGGGCGCTCACAATTTTTCATCTGGAGATCTACTTTTCAAATGAAAAGCTCAAAGAGATCTACCAACGAAAAAACACCTTTATTTAAAAAATAAGCACATTAAAATCGTTACTGGGACTACTGCCTCGCTCTCTGCTGTCTCTTCTCGCTCTCCCTTTCTGCTGTCTCTTCTCGCTCTCCCTTTCTGCTGTCTCTTCTCGCTCTCCCTTTCTGCTGTCTCTTCTCGCTCTCCCTTTCTGCTGTCTCTTCTCGCTCTCCCTTTCTGCTGTCTCTTCTCGCTCTCCCTTTCTGCTGTCTCTTCTCGCTCTCTCTGCTGTCTCTTCTCGCTCTCTCTGCTGTCTCTTCTCGCTCTCTCTGCTGTCCCTTCTCACTCTCTCTGCTGTCCCTTCTCACTCTCTCTGCTGTCGCTTCTCACTCTCTCTGCTGTCTCTTCTCACTCTCTCTGCTGTCTCTTCTCACTCTCCTGGCTGTCTTTCCTTACCTGCACTGCCGCAGTGCGGTGTCCTGTCCTCCTGCGGTGCTCGTGTGGCCGACGCTCTGCACTGTCACCATATAGCAGGCAATAGCCGCTCTATGCAGGGTTTGGGTCACATTGTCCCCCTGTGACCCTGAAGAGAACTATGGCAAATAAAAGGCCATAGTTCTCTTTTAAGGAACCAAGCAAAGTGCAAAGGTCAGTAATCCAAGCAAACCTTTAAGAATTTATGTTTCAAATATATACAAGTATAAATGGCATCAGTAACGTTTTTTTGTGAAAACAGCTTGTGTTTTTTTATAAATCTTCAACAACTGCTTAATGTAAAGAGACACTTACCTGAGGAAAGATAGATCCAGCTCCATACATGATGCTTTTTACAAAGGAAGGAAGGGCATCTTTGGGAATTAGGTTATCAGCGAATATCATCATGAAGTTACTGCAAAAAGTGGCATGAAAAACTTGAAAAAAGTTCATAGACACAAATAGCAAAAAGTTTTTTTGGGTGAGGATCTCCTTAGTGAGTGTTAGCACAGAGGTCCAGGAGAGTGAAGTATCTGACCGGCTGTTGCTCTCCAGAACCTTATGTTCGTACTGGCTCACTCCAAACAAACCTGTATAACACATGCATGCAGTAGAGAGTACTGCCAAGCATACGGCGAAGGTCTGAAATCTTGGGATGTTCTCCATGTTATCAGATACAAGTCCACAAAAGAGGATGCTTGAGGAGCCCAGCAGTGAAGCTACCTGGTTATATTTAATGAGCTGAACACGGCTCTCATGCTTTGTTGAAATCTCAGTAAATAGGGCACATTGGGCAAGCAGAACAAAAGTGAGCATGCCATCAAAAATACACAGTGCTACAACAAGATGGATGCCACTAAGCCATTCACCTTCTGTGTACACTTTCCAGGGAAACCAGGGTATTAGGAAGGCCAATGCATAAAATGGTGCTCCAAATAAGATGGACCTGCGGCGTATAGAGCAGAGGCCTGACTTTGAATTATCTTGTATGTACCCAAATAAAGGATCATTGATGGCATTCCAGATCATGAACACAACCTAAAAAATGAAATAAAAGATATTCTATTAAAGTGGACCTTTACCCATATCTTTAAAATAACAAACACACTTTTAGAAAAGTTTACTAATGACAATCTGCAGACACATACTTCTAGATAATTGCCGAGTTTGTATTCTTTGCATACCTTATTTCTCTTTTCTTCCCCAGTCTTCTGACAGTGGCCATGCTTACTAAGGGCAGATTACTAGCTCTCCTATTACTTCCTGGATTTCTGGGATATGTGACTAGACATGTGGCCATGCACATCATCTCAGGGGAAGAAAATGCCTTTCCCTGAGATCTCTAGCAATGCTCTGCTGATCACAAGGCAATCCTAGTGTTTATTGCTTTGACAAGCTGAAGTAATTTGCACTTTCAAAGCAGGAAGTGAATGCTCTGCAAGTGTAAGTATTTCAAAATCACAGCATTTTACACCTGACATGTCTATGTTATTATTAATCATCATACATAGAGGGATGCATTGGTAGAATTTGATTGTTGCGTGTAAAGGTCCGCTTTAAAGCTCAAGTCTACTGTAATCTCAAAGAAAACAGTTTTGGGTGGACACCAAAAGGCTGAATCAATCCTCAGCCCTCATCTCTAAATGACGATGACAGGTTCTCTGTAGCCGAGATCCCACCTCTAGCATCTAGCTCTAGTATCTCAACATCCACCTGCTGCAACTATTGCAATATTATCCCACTCTTTAACCCAAGTGATATAACAAACCAATATGTGACAGCTGCAACGTACTACTAGAGTGGTGTCCAACTTAAAAGAGCTCAAGGATCACCTCTTTATCCACATTTTAAATGGAGGGCTGCATCTAAATCAACAACTCTGCTATACCTCTTCCAGGCTGTACAAAGCCTTGCCACAGTGATGGGGCAAGAAATCTAAGACATGGATGCCAAAATGCGCCGCCCCTTCCTTTCCCAGAATTTAAATTCAACTCACCAAAAAACTACAAACACAATTTGTATATGTTTATATACAAACGAGAAAAAAGAGCTAAGGGATGAAAGAGTTAATAGAAAACTAAAATCAACTCAAATTTTACCTACATATTTAGGGTAAAAAAAAATAAACAAAGATTGACTACAAATGTTATTCTGCAATTATGCCCTTTAATAAGCACACTAGAATTCTGCTTTTGGAACAAAGCATTTTTTTTTTTTTTTAATTTGGCACCTCAAAAAGTAATGAACACAAATTTAAAAAGTTTACTTACAAATGAAAAAAAAAAAAATAAAATGTTTAGGAGAGTAACGAGTTAAATATACTAAATAGAGGCCTAACTAGGGGATATAATTGGGTTAAAAAAAAAAAAAAAGTTTAATTTAGAAGAGCTGTCAAACTGTGGATCACACAAGCCTAAACGTTGAACAGCCCTGCCCTGTTCTAGGATTACACTGGAAGTGTTGGTGTCACAATATGAAATTCACTTTAAAATTAAATTTCACCCAGTGTCATTATCCTTCCGCAAACAGACTACTGAAGTTTATTTGAAACAAAACATGGTGCTCAAGCTCCATCCCCCTTAACTGTGGTATTATGTTTGCTGATTAGACTGCTGGCAGCATCTGGAGACACAGTTCAACCTCTCATCACACCAATCACCACCCTGTTCTCACCACCGCAACTGACCCCTATCCTCCTTCCACCACAACAACAAATTTGCACACAAACGTCCACTCTCACTATTGCGTCTGACCCCCATCCTCCTCTCCCACATTCCCCCACTTCAGTTGCTACTGCACTGACACCCGCATCTGCACTTGCAGCCACTTGCCACCACTGCAGTTCCATATTCAGCCCATTCAACTTTTGCGAGTATTTATAAATACACATGTTCTAGCTCCACAGACAACCTCATCCAGTTTCTCTCTGCTGACTATTTTCTCTAGATCCACTTAATGTCTTATTTTGCTTCTAGCTAATAAATTATTATACATAACAAGCATTAATGTTTGTTTAATGAAGTCTCACCCATGTAAAAGAAAAGCCTCACAAGTCAGGTCCACCCTATAATTTGGGATTCAATAAAACTCATGGTTAAGTCTATCTAAAGGTGTCCAGGGACATGAGATAATTGGCTTACTACACCATTTCAGGAAATAAGCATAGAAGATGTGTAACCTCTACAGATACCCTCTTATTTCCCAAAAATCAATCATCCACATTGGACTTCTTTTCTACATCCGTGATAATGTCGGTGTCTGCTCACAGCATAAACATGTACATTCAGCTTATACACCCATGCATGTTTATTCACTAATTTGTTGTCTCTTGCAACCACCATCACTCTCTGAGCCTCACTCTTGCACATTAGCTTTTCTAAACACAGACGTTTTGGGAAGTATAAACAACTTTTAGGCCCCTTTCACATAGGTGGTCTGATTGGGTCTGCCTGTCAGTTTTTCAGGTGGACCCGATCAGATGCCCAATGCTAGTCTACGGGTAGCTGGGTCAAAACCGATGGGCATCCGTTTACCCTCAGTTACCCCCAACTCCAGTCTGGTCTGGAAAAACAAATAAAACAGTGTTCCGTTTTGCCAGACCTGATTGTGCTGGATCGGGGGGAATCTGATGTAAACGGACACATGTCCGTTTACATCTGACTCCTGTTAGACCAACATGGGGGTCTACCAGTTTTAGTTTGCAATGGTGGGAAAAAAAATGGACTGACACGGATGTAATGTGGGTTTTTTTTTAAATTAACCCCTTCATTGCTGATCACAGTTTTATAACTGATCAGTAAATAGTTCTGTTCAGGATTGTTGGGATGTATTTTTTTTTGGTAAATTGTACCCATGTTTAATAATGTTATTTTTTTTTTTTAAATGAACCCCTTCAGCACTGATCACAGTTTTATAACTGTGATCACTCTGATCAGTACAGTAGTACTGTTTGGTATATTCAGCTGTGATTTTTGCATTTTCTCTATTATCATTTTACCATTTGTTAGCTTTACTCATTTTTAATTCTTTAAAAAAAAAAACCCCTTCAGCGCTGATCACAGTTGTATTGCTGTGATCACACTAATCAGTACAGTAGTATTGTTTAGCAGTTTTGGGGTGGGATTTTTACCTATGTTTTAATTAAAATCTTACCCTTTTAAAGCTCGCGCTTGAGCGTGGCTGACGGGACATTTAAATACGCCCACTCAGATCTAGGAAGCTCCCGGGCGGCCGTATTAGCACAACGGCCGGCCGGGAGGCGGTTAAAGCCACGTTTAGAATTTCTAATTAGATCCTGGATACACAGAATTCTATTTTCTCTAAACGTAGGTGGATGCAGGTAAATACAACGTCGAATGATACCACTGAAAAGCGATTACAAGCATTTATATGTGTTTAGAAATGTGCTCTAAATGTATATAAACACAAGTTTGACACTAGTATGAATGAGGCCTAAGTCTTCTGGTTTCTTTTCTAGCAGGGGGAGACACAAAGCATGTAAACAAACATACCCAGTGTAAAAATAGAGTGTAAATAAATATGACAATAGTAAAATGTGCTTGTGTGTTCAGTGGATCTAAACACGATAGCAGGCACCTGGTTAGTGTTTGTGTACACTAGACCTCTACTCGTGTCAGGGTCTTGTTCAGATGCATTAAACATTAACTGATGCAAGACCTCCTTTTACTGTACAAGTGTCACAACTGCAAATATTTACACATCACTTTGTGGCGTTTTTACATAAATAACACACAAAATATGACACTGAATAGTACTTCTTACTAAATGCACACTTGTATTAGGACTATATACTACTGTTAAAGTCCTGAATGTGTTAATGTGGGTACAAATGTTCAGAAATACAAATGTTTATAGCACCTGAGCTTGATGAAAAGCTCCCTCGGATATTTTGTAGCGGTTAAGAAACAACTTCACGTAATAAAAGTTGAATATATGATTCATCATTCCGGCTCCTAATGTGGTCATGGAGTAGGCCAGAGCAAGCCTGTTAATTCCAAAGGATAACGTCATGGTTACAGTTCACCTAAGGAAATATAAACAGAAATAAAGAAATATTACCAAAGAGGTTTTCGCACTATTACTAGAGGAAAAAAACAAAACAAAAGACTGTGACATACAAAGGCTACCATTGCTGATGTCTCCTGAAAATGCTAGCTGCCTGGCTGTCTCGCTTGTAGGCCAGAGACCTATTTCTCTGACTTACTTGCTGCCTGCTTGTTCTGTGTTAGTACCTGGAAGTCTAGAGCAAATGGCAGCTTACATTTTTCTCTCATGCCCGATGTATTTTCATAATCGTAACAAAAAGTTAGTTACATTATATTTATCCTGTAGGATTGTTTAATTCTATGTCCAGTCAAATTGAGTGGGGGAAGGATTAGAATCCCTCAGTCTTATGGCTATTTGGGGCTCCGTTAGAGCATTTTTCCTGACTTAGGGCCCATTGCCACATACAGCGATGATTGCCGTTTTGCCACACTGGAGCAATGTAAGTTACCGCTAGGGCACATAGAAAACAATTGTTTTCACCCCACAACCCAGGTGTGATCTGCGGTGTGGTGGGCTGCAGTAAAATGCTGACATACCAAATTTTTCTGCAGCACACCAGCTGCCACTGAATGTCACCACAGCGCAATGTAAAGAGCTGCTATAGGGAGACATAAATTGGGTGTACACTTTGTATGCTCCAAATACAGTAAAAAAATAAATAAATACAATGGTACCTCGGTTCACGAACTTAATTCGCTCCACGATTCTAGTCGCTAACAGAATTGGTCACGAACCGAATCAAACTGTGATCAGACCGCAATCTCGACTGGAGGAAGCCACAACCATGTGTCAGAGCAGGGAAGATGGCTGCGGTTGTGTTCGTCACCTGATGCGGAGTTCACGAACGGAAGCAAAATTTTGCTGAACTTCCTGTTCGCGAACCGAATTGTACGCGAACAGAAGCGTTCGTGAACCGAGGTACCACTGTAGTAAACAGCGCCTTGAATTGTAACAATACAAGACAACGTAGCTCACTGCCGACACTAGCCACACAATGCAGCTAGTGTGAACAGGCCCTTATGGTTAAAGTGACATGTTTCCCCTGACAGTATGGGGAAATCTTCATTAGCATCACCAAAGGCCCCATATGATGTTTGTTTACATATGTGTGACACGCATTGGCCCACAAAGTTTAGGTCTGGTTTTTTGATGCATTAATAGGCTTATTGACAATTAAAAATGCCCCCTGAAAAGGTGTAAATGCAGCCAGACAGAAATACAAATGCCAGGGGAAGAGTAGAACCCCAGTCAGCTTCTTATTGCTGTCCCTGCTGCAGATCTTCCCATACTTCCTGTCTGGTGACATAAAGAGGGGAATTTATCAAAACTGGAGAAGACGAAATCTGGAGCAGTTGCACATGGCAACCAATCAGCTTCTCTCTCCAGTTTGTTCAGTTAATTTGAAAATGAAAGAGAGAAGCTGTTTGGTTGCTGTTCACAGCTGCTCCAGATTTTGTCTGCTCCAGTTTTGATCCCCTCAATGGGGGGAATTTATTAAAACTGGAGCAGACAGGATCTGGAGAAGTTACCCATGGCAACCAATCAGTTAAGCTTTGAAAATTAAAGACAGAAGCGGATTGGTTGCCATGGACAAATGCTCCAGATTCTCACTGCTCCAGTTTTGATAAATTACCATTAATGTGTTGGTGATATCTTGGATTGGTGCAGGCGCTTCTTCTGCTACTTTTTAGCACCACAGATTTCAATGGGAGCACATGATAAATACATGCGACAAGCACTTTTGTGTGTTTTAGCACATGACAACACTCACCCATCCGTTAGCAATTTCTACTTAATTTCATCTTCACTGGCCAAAACAAAAATGCACGAAAAAGGTGCAACAAAAACACTAAAAAAAATATGAAACTGCTGAAGCAGAAGTGTAAACATAGCATTATAAACCCAGTAGGCGTTCTAATCCTTCACTTTATTCAAAACACACATAAAATACATTTTGGCTGGACATCCACTTTAATCAGAAAGCCAGACCCAAGGACAGGGCACAGGTGAGGAAGGGGCGGCATGCTTGCTGGATTTGCTTACAGGGAAATACTGTTCCCAAAGTGTATCATTCGTCATACAAAGAGAAAGGTAGAAAAACCGACCTCTTCACCCAGATTATCACCTCACTCCAGCATAGAAAGTGTTTGCTGAACAACTAACCCTGAACTTCTCTGAGCTGGCTTCATAATGTAAACTCCATACCACAGCGTAAAGTGTGACCTTTCCTCCCAGAAACACGTGCACGCCTTGTAACAGAAGTTGGCAGGTCGCATGCAAAAGGCGCACTTTTTTTTTTCCTTTAAACTTCAGCTGGAATGCAGTTAAAATATGAAAGCAAGTCTGTGGGTCCTCTATACACAAGGGTTGGGCAACTCCGGCCCTCCAGCTGTGCATTAACTACAAATCCCATCATGTATCTGCCTCTGGTGGTCATGCATGTAACGGTCAGTCTTGCAATGCCTCATGGGACTTGTAGTTCCACAACAGCTGGAGGGCTGGGCAGCTCCCGGGAAGGACAGGTTATGCGTGTGATTAGTACGCAGCTCCTGTCCTTCTCTATGGGAGTACGCGGCCATGCGCCCCCCTACGCTCACCTCAAGTGCAGGTCCGTACTGGTGCGGGTTCCCCGGCTCGGGATCCATCCTGTCAGCATACGAGTGCGCTCACCCGCACAGACGTGCTGGGCGGGTGAGCGTTGGGCGGCGTACTCCCAAAGAGAAGGATAGGGGCTGTGTACTACTCACACGCAGCACCTGCCCTTCCCGGGAGCTGCCCGATACTGCCGTGCACGCAGCGCTGTATGTGCCAGCCGATTCCTGTGTGAATGAGGCATAAAGCGTGGATGAACCAATATCCCGCTACAGTGATAGTATTCTGCCAGCCAGCACCTGCTGCTATCAGAATACATGAACAATGAATTTAGATTGTGGATGCTGCCCACCTGTTAGCCAGATCACATATATTCACATCACTGAAATACTTTTGGATGAGAAGCACCAATAGAATACCCACACGAGGCCAGTGCTTTTTTTTTTTTTTTTTTTTTACACACTTTCAAAACAACTTTTTTCTCCAAGTCCATCCAAGTTTATCCCTGATGAAGGGGGGAGTAGTTTTGTGTCCCAAATGCTGTTTTATATGACCCATCTATCAGCAATTAAAGAAGTACTGTAGGGTACACCTTTTTTTTTGTATTTTTAGTTTCCTAATGATTAGGGATGCATTGATTCCGATACTAGTATCGGTGCTGATACCGAGTATTTGGGCAAGTACTCGCACAAATGCTCCTGATGCTTATCCCGATACTGGAACTTGAGGCATCAGGAAGCCGGGTGTCAAGTCATTAGACGCCGCCCAGCTTCCTGATTGGCCGGGAAGCTGGCTCCATGCTCTCTCGTCACCAGGGAACATGGAGCTGGCTTCCTGGCCAATCAGGGAGCCGGGGGGTGGGTAATTACTCGGCCCCCCCGGCTTCCTGATGGGCCAGAAAGCTGGCTCCATGCTTCCTCGTCACTTGAGTGACGAGGGAGAATGGAGCCGACTTCCTGGCTAATCAGGAAGCCGTGTGGCGAGTCATTACAAGCTGCCCGGCTTCCTTAATGGGACTTCTGGTATCGTCAGGTACAGAAAAAAAAAATATCGGTACTTGTAACCCAAAAACAAGAGTGCATGTTGCATGAATACCTGTGCAGGCGCAGCAACTCTGCCCCTGCCTCCCTTGCATGCTCTTGTCTCCATCTCTTCTTCTCCCTGGCTCATTGTGAAGGAGATCTGCAGCAGTGCTTCAACAACCAACCTTACCTTGTCCAGTCACCGAAGCACTGCTGCAGATCTCCTTTGTGTTATTTACAATGAGCCAGGGAGAAGAAGAGATGGAGACCAGAGCGCGGAGGGGAGGCAGGGACGGATCTGCTACACCTGTGCAGGTATTCATGAAGGCGCAGCAGCTCCTACAAGGCCCTGTCACTCAATGGGAGGAGAGACGAGTGGGGAAGATCCAAACAATATTATCGGGATCATTTCTCAGCACAGAGCTTAGCTCGGCCCACAGTATATTATATTGAACTGCAAGCTAATGGTGGATTTTTGATTACAGAAGCACATTGCAAAATTTACTCCTGTATCATTAGGGAACTAAAAATACCAAAAAAGGTGTACCATATAGTTCTTTTTTTAAAAAGCAAGAAAATACTGCCACATGTTCTAATCTGCTACTTCTTTACTTTATACAAACCTAAATACTTTGGGCTGGACATATACAAGGTTATCAGACACCTATGACATAGAATCACACATATGGACAAAACATATTGCAGTCAATAGATTACTTCCTGTAGTATATCTAGACCTACACGTGTATATAAATGCTTGATTGTATTCCTATTATGAGTTTACTGATAGTATATCTATTTATGATCTCCTGAATACACAATGTTCAAGGGCTCCAGCTCCATTCATTACAATGTCACATGACATCGGCAGCTTATCTGCAGGCTATGCATGGCACGCCATGAGAATGGAGAATTCCATGTCAGTTACCACCACCACCAGAGACAATGTACAGCATGCACCCGGACATACTACCAAGCAGTGAGAGCCAGGGATCATGGGGCAGATGGCTGCTCCAGCACACAATAGTCCAGAAGCTCCCACCAGCCTGTTGCCCCTCGCAACCTGAACGCCTTAGCCGTCTTACAGCAAAACACGGAAGAGACAAACCACAGCAGGGGCTTGATTTGCCCTTTCCGCCAATAACAGACAGCGAGTATCCCTCCTAGCCATTTCATTGGTCAGCGACTGGTACCTGTTGTTTCTGCTCAGTACGCTATTGGTTCATTTGTAAGAAGACCCTCCCCGTTGTAAACTGGACGTCATGCACTCGGATTGCCACGTTGCGGCGCGGTTCGGGAGTTCTCGGCTCTTTCCGGAAGCGCTGGGGATGTGGGAGGGGCTGCCTGGCGGGGAGAGGCTTCTTGAGCTGTCAGTATCAGCAACTGCCTGAGTCCGCAGCGCCGATCCCCGGGAGAGCCGATCACACTCGGGGCTGATACGGCTGCCACCATGCTGACGGACAGTAACGTGGAGGAGTTCGAAATCAAGGAGGATGAGCCGTGGTATGACCACCAGGACTTGCAGCAAGGTGAGCCTTAGGGATGCGCTGTGCTCACATGTGCATTCAGCTTTCTTCTATCAGCTCCCTGCATTGTGATCCACCCTTCCATTCAGAACTCTAATTATCAATGGCTTGTCTCTTATGTTTGATGGGATCATCGATCTAAAAAGCTGGTACTTTAAATTCTATACAATCTGATTGTACAATCTCCTTTAGCTCTACCATCAGCTATGCAATGATTGCATACAAATGGGATGGAGTGTAGAAGTATGTCCTTGCATTGATAGGTTTTGGTAAATCTAAAGGAGATAATATAGGTATAGTACAATCTTATTGTATAGTACAATCTTATTGTATAGTGTATGGTCAGCTTTGATGTCCTTCCAGGGATAGGAGCTGTAGCAAGGCTTATTCCATGTTTTGCTGCTTGCTATATCATCAACTAACATTTCATGATGGGCTGACAATTTAAAACCATCACTCCATGTAATGGTACCTTTCACCTTTCTTATGATACAAATACATGCCTCTATAGTGAAGTCAATGTGTATTACAGAATTAGGATCATGGAGTCTTGTCAATCGTTTGTACTCTAGTCTCATTAGTGCTCAGATGGTGATGAAATGTGGCTGTGATAAGGACAATCACGTGTCCTCTTGCATCACTGAATTGTAGACTCCAGATCCATAATGCCATTCACAAGCGATCACTTCCCCCTAACATGAGATGGATGATGGACATCTAACCTCCATAGCTTATCTCCATACTTATGGCTTCCCCTTGTGTTCTGTATCTATTGGTGTAGCAAATTGAAGGGTCCTTATGACTCACTTAGCTAATGTATACAAGATGTATAGCTGCTTTTTAATATTCTCTAGGTTGGGGAGGCAGATGTGGTGTGTTTTAATGCAATCCCTTTAAAAATGTTGCAGGGTGCACCAGCCAGGCATGATGTGATGTGTGATGGATAAATACATGTTATTGTCCAGCAAAAGGCAGTGAGAACCCTTATACCAGCTTTTTCCAATCTTCTTACCCCATAGGAACCCTTGAGATCATTTTCAGGTCTCAGGGAAATGCTACTTGAATTTTTATTTACAGCTTACAGTACATTAGCAAGGTCAGTTATAGATGTAATAAATACAAGAGTAAAGAAAATGTATGAAAAAAAGTAAAATGAAAAATAAAAACAATATCAGGGAAAGCAACATACACACAGTCCCGTTACATTGGTTGTCTGTAGATAAATTCCTGCTTGCATTGGTGGTCAGTGAAGGGTTCAGTGTCATTGGTGGTGAGTGGGAGAGGGTGGGCACAGAGTGCCCCTTGCATTGAGGGTGGGTGGGCACAGAGTGCCCCTTGCATTGAGGGTGGGTCTCTCTCTATAATGAGGCAGCCTGAGGTGGTTGCCTCAGGCGGCATCTCGTTGAGTCACATGGGGTGTGCCCACCACCCCCTTTCCAGCTATAGTGTCCTAGGTTGTTAAGAGCTCTTAGCAACCTATGATGCGCTGTCTGGCATCCCAGCTCACTGACATCACTGGTTTCCAGGAGCTGTGCGTGATTGCACTGGCTGGCATCTTGCCAACCAGTGATGTCAGTGAGCTGGACAGAGTGCTGGACAGAGTT